TCAAACAAGTGATCAACTTTCAAATGTACCTTGGTGTCTGTGCAGCGTTTTATATCTGCAGTTGCCAGAAATTTATTGACGCTGGGTGCAGTTTTAGAAGTAAAGGGATACTGCTGTTCCAGAAGTGGAAACTGTTATCTGTAGCAGCAGTGATAGTTAATTTGCCACAGGCTATGGGCCAAATGGCGAGGTTTTCCCTCTCTTTTAATGGCCTCTGGATGAACAATGGGCTGGAGATGAAACCAAAGTTTCATATGTACAATGAAAAGCTTGAGAGTGGGGAATGGGAAGCCCCATTTACAACTAAAGTTAATAGTTGATTATTGAACTTGCATGATATAAAACCACAGACTTGCAGACAATGGTATCTCAAACCAATAGCTGATCGGCGGTGTTTGCCTGCATAATATTTACTTTCCTTTCTAAATCAGTTATAATTTGACAAGCACTTTGGAATGTTTAATCTGTGTTAAAGGTGATACGTAAATACCAAATATTTAATAAAGTTTGGTACTTGCATTCAAAGCCAATCAACGTGTGAAACCTGCTTTCTATTGGATTAACGTACAGAGGGTTCATATCTCTGGTTATCAAAGATCCAATAGTCTGGATTTCGCATTTGTGTAAACCTGGTACTTTGTGTATGAGTGAGAAATCTTGTTGACCACTTGCTTCTTTGAACTGCTTCTGGAAGCTTGTATTCCCACTTTGGCTTTTTACACCACTCACAACAGCTACTGATTCAAGGTCTGGTTTGGTAATCATCAATGGATATAAAACCAAGACTTCAAGACAATGGTTCCTCAAACCAATTGGGAGAAACAACGTGTTATGAATGGTTCAAATGTATTGAGTCTACTGATGAAAGCTAACCTGTGTAAACAGGTTATTTTGAAAACGTATCTATGATGAGAGCTAACTAATGCAGCATTCTCTCAATGCTGCACTGGAGTGTTAGCACATGTCTTGGGTTGTGTCTCAAGTCCGCAGCCTTCTGACGCAACAGCAAGAGTGCTATCATTTGAGACTTGAGACTCGTGGTGTCCTGTAGCTCAGTGGTTAGAGCACTCGCTTTGCAAGTGAGAGACCTGAGTTCAATTCCCGGCCGGTCAGGGCGAAACTTTGGGCAAGTTTCCTTACTCCTGACGCCTAATAATAATCCCTCCAAAACAAAAAAAACAATAAATTGGTCATTTTTAATCTATGACTGTTTGTGGGACATTGCTGTGCGCAATTGGCTGCCGCGTTCGCCCACAAATATACAGTCAATTCACTTTACAGTGTGTTCTGTGAAGCGCTTTGGGACGTCCTCCCGACGTGAAAAGCGCTATACCAAATGCAAGGATTCTTATTATTTGGTAGGTACTGTAAGCAAATGTTGTGTTTCAGGTTTAGAGGGGGGCAGTTTCTGGCTTTTTGTCTAAATGCTTTATCTGCAAATGATAAGATTGTTGTTTTATATAGCATTTGTTCATTTGCAGGACATTCCCATACGTTGTTGGCATGATACACATTGCACATGAAACACTGTGGCAAATAGTGTATCTTTCAGAGTGGCATGTTGACGACCCTGGCTGCTTGCTCTGGCAAGTGGCAAGCGTAACTTTATATACTGCTGGGAGCGATTGCCTGAATTGGCTGGCGAAAACGTTTGGCCAGTATGTCATAAGTTTCTTCAGTCCGGCAGATTGATGTGTGACCTTGAGTGGTCAGTTGATTGCCTCAGTTGGTCTGATCAAATAGGAAGTATTTTCATTGAATCTGAGAGTTTCAGTCACAAAGATATATTGAAAATGATATATGAAAGTGATGTGTCCATGATCTTTATGTGCTATCCACTCATTTGTCAAGGCTTGTAGAAGCAAAGGGTATAACAGAGCTAATGAGTTTTTTTTTATTTCAACAAACAATTCCCAAAAGAATCATTATTATGTTTTTGCTTCATTTGCTTATTTGACTTATATTTTGATTATTTCTAACTTAACAGTAGATGTCAATGGGATTTTTGAGACAACTGCTTTTGAAACAGTTGAAAGAGTTGCTCAGGCCAACATTGTGAGGGCAATGAATGGGTGGGTGGACATTAAAGCTAAGTCAATCATTATGTCTCCCATCCTGTAGTCCTGTAGCTCAGTGGTTAGAGCACTCGCTTTGCAAGTGAGAGACCTGGGTTCAATCCCAGGCAGAGGGCGAAACCTTGGGCAAGTTTCCTTACTCCACACAGAGCCTAATAATAATCCCTCCAAAAAACCCAAAACAATAATAAATTGGTCATTTTCAATCTACGACTGTTTGTGGGACATTGCTGTGCGCAATTGGCTGCTGCGTTCGCCCACAAATATACAGTCAATTCACTTTACAGTGTGTTATGTGAAGCGTTTGGGACATCCTCCCGACGTGAAAAGCGCTATATCAAATGCAAGGATTATTTATCCCTGACACCACTGGCTCAGGGCTGTCTCCAAGGTGATCCCCCTGATTAGTCTCAATGGTGAGTGCTGATCTCTGTACTAAAAATGTGTTAACAGTCATATGTTTTGAAGCCTAATTGTGTTTTTTTGAAAGGCTATGGTGGTAATTGTATCAATTTGACATTATCTCTAACCCATGTTGTACTTGACTCAGTTCCCTGTGTTCTATTAAATGAAGAGTAGTCTGGAAAATGCTAAAGGTCGGGTATAAGACTGGGCAGAACTGAGTCACTCACATACTGAGCTGCTTCACAGCTTATGAATGTGTCTCTACATGAGTGATGTGATATGCCAGTAGCCGCATTGCTTCACTTCTTCTCATTTAATCATAGTTACCAGGTTAGAATTGAGGAATCGGACTTCAGAAAGTATCAAAGCATTATCGAGATTACTTATCAGTAGGACTGAAAGTGGTGACAATTAACAATCAAATGTGGTCAAGAAACCTGGAATGCTCTAAACTTGGATAATTCACAATCCTGTCACAGCTCTAGTGTGCTCACAGACTCTGTTATTTTATTTTTACCCCTAATCTTGCATCACATTTTGTAAACACGACTCGGCACATACCACTGTTGCTTACATTGAACCAATGCTCCCATTAGCTTTTTATTAAAGTAATTTACACGATAGTGAAATAATCTTAAAACGGGCAAATCCTGAAGGATTTTTAACCTTTATAATATTTACTAGACCTGTTAGGAACTTCAGCATCTCGAAAGAATTCATGGGGAGTAAAATAGGTTTGTGATTTTATTTTGTTTTAAAATCAGATGCTAAGCAACCATTTTGAAGTATTTCTGGCACTTGCTCATCTGAATGGGAGATATTTGAAGTGCCTGCACAGCGTCAACTGGGGTGGGAAATGCTGACACAGCTGGTGGAACCAGACGCACAAAATGAATTGAAAAGAATCGCAAATGGGAAGGATTAAGAGGATTATTTGAAAGATAAAAGGAATTATGTTTCTAATTGGCCAGTGATGGGTGCAAAATCCCAACCAAGCCCGGTGAAAACGAAAGATTGGCCACTAGAATCAAGCACGAGGATATCTGTGGGGACAGTAATATGAATCTTAGGCCAAGAGCATTAACAGGTACTTGCTGTGTCAGAGACTTTCACCCTCTGCCCACAGATTATACAAGTGCTCTTTTTTCCCCCTAGAGTTAGCAATGTAAGTAGTGAATCTTAAGGATCAAAAGCAAATTTTCTTTACTAGCAAAACTGTTTTGAGGTCGCGAAAGCCCAGAAACATTTACACTGAAATTGTTGATGTCTCAAATAGTAAGAGAAAAAAATCTTAAATTACAACAAGATTAAATTTGTATAGCACCTTTCACGTCCCAAGACGCTGGACAGTGTACAGCATTTCAGACCATTTACTGGCACATGGCAGCTCTTTATACTTTTTTTTTATCTCCAGGACACTACCCCGCATGAAGGGTGCTATAAATGCAAGTTGTTGTTGTTGTGCAGCGCCTTGGGACGTCCTCCTGACGTGAAAGGCGCTTTATAAATGGAATCTTGTTGTTGTTGTTGTTGTTTTAAACATTTGCAAACTGAACACTGCAGATACTGGGAGTGGTACCACATTTTGTGACTTTGTGGTTGCTGAATTGAGCAGTTGACTTGACCCATTGCTTAATTGTGGTATTGCTATGTGGTCCCTTGTCTCTATGTTCAAGTTCACTATATTTATTGCCAATTAGAAGGATTCAAAAGAATGGAAATGAAATCTTATACATCAGGTTTATTGACAACTCATGGTTGACAACTGACTGTACTAAGCTTTTAGATTTCATTCATGTCTATATGAGAAACAGGATACAGCACACTGCTATTCATTTGTTTTTAGGCCTTCATATACAAGCCAAAACTGCCCTCATTCAGCATTTGTGAAAGATTAATGATTAGTAACTCCTCAAAGTGACAATGCCTCTGTTTTTTAAGCTTAATTTATTTCATTAGTGCTGTTCTTTAAGTCTGCCTATATATAAGTATCCAAGAAAAGCTTACCCATGTTTGCAAAATTATATCTGTCAAAGAAATACCAATATCTTGTATCGTGAGCAATTCTAATTTGTGAATTGTTGATGTCCAATTTGTAAAAAGTGCAAGAATCAGGTGTCTGTCCCAGGCACTTTTATTGCCAAAACCATCAGTTAACTGTCGCTTTTCACAATTCCTGGAAGGTAAACCAATAATGCTATTTGTCACCCACTGTCCAATGTTACACATTCTGTTACAGTGATCCAAAATGAAAGGTGATAAAGATGAGTGGTGAAAAATGGAAAAAAAAACGGGAGGGATTTTGTCATTATATGTTCATCATTTAGTGTTTAGCTTGTGATTATATCTAAATAGCTGGTCAACTCGCAGACATCCTTACTAACTAATTCACAGATAACTAATTATTTGGAAATGGTATGAGAGAGAATTATTGTGGGGGTGGAAAAAATAGATCTTGAAATTAAAATATGCTGGTGTTTATTTCAAGTAATCCCAGAATTTCTTCTTGCACTTTTACAGGAATGTTTACCCTCACAGAAGTAGCATCGCTTAATGACATACAAGCAACCTATCGGATCCTGAAGCCATGGTGGGATGTTTTCATGGACTATTTAGCTATCGTAATGCTAATGTTGGCTATCTTCGCGGGCACCATGCAACTGACCAAAGACCAAGTTGTGTGTCTTCCTAGGTTGGAGGTAGCTGAAAACCGTGCAACTATTCCTGAGACCAGTGCTGCACCACAGAAACAAACCACTACCTCTGCATTGGAAATCAGTCATGCTACAGAAGAAGAAGGCCAGCTTTTTCCTGAAACTGTATCCATGATGAACGTTGACTCGCACAAAGAAACTAACCCGAGCTTCAGATGTAAAACTCACTTGGACTATCAGCAATATGTTTTCGTAAATCAACTATGTTATCACGTGGCCTTGCCCTGGTACTCAAAGTATTTTCCCTATCTAGCTCTCATCCACACACTCATTTTGATGGTCAGCAGCAATTTCTGGTTCAAGTATCCCAAAACCAGTTCCAAGATTGAACATTTTGTCTCCATATTGGGGAAGTGTTTCGAGTCTCCATGGACCACAAAGGCACTTTCCGAAACGGCGTGTGAGGATTCAGAGGAGAACAAACAACGTTTCAAGTCTTCTGTGGCAAAACATTTATCAACCAGCAGTGAAGAAGAGAGTCCCAGTACACCAATGATATCTAGATCTGGACCTAAGTTCTCAGCTGAAAAACCTGTTGTAGAAGTTCCCAGCATGACTATTTTAGACAAGAAAGATGGCGAGCAAGCCAAAGCCCTTTTTGAAAAAGTTCGTAAATTCCGTGCGCATGTGGAAGATAGTGCTTTAATATACAAATTGTATGCTGTCCAAACAGTCATAAAGACAATGAAATTTATATTTATTTTATGTTACACTCTAACCTTTGTAACTTCAATAAGTTTTGATCACGTCTGCAAACCAGATGAACAGGTGCAACGTTTGACTGGATACTCTGAGTTTTACTGTACGCACAACATGGCTTTTATGCTACGAAAATTATTAATTAGTTATATCGCCCTGATATGTGTTTATGGAATGGTTTGCATATACACTTTATTCTGGCTGTTCAGACGACCCTTAAAGGAATATTCATTTGAAAAGGTTCGTGAAGAAAGTAGCTTTAGTGACATTCCAGATGTTAAAAATGACTTTGCATTTCTGCTGCACATGGTCGATCAATACGATCAACTTTATTCTAAACGGTTTGGTGTATTTCTATCTGAGGTGAGTGAAAACAAACTCCGTGAGCTAAGCTTGAACCATGAATGGACTTATGAAAAACTCAAGCAGCATGTCTCCAGAAACGCTCAAGACAACCAGGAATTGCATCTCTTCATGCTCTCAGGGGTACCAGATGCTGTATTTGACGTGACGGACCTTGACGTACTGAAGCTAGAACTGATTCCTGAGGCAAAGATTCCTGCCAAAATTTCCCAAATGACTAATCTTCAAGAACTGCACCTTTATCATTGTCCTGCTAAAGTAGAACAAACTGCCTTCAGCTTTCTCCGAGATCACCTTAGATGTCTACATATCAAATTCACGGATGTTGCAGAAATTCCTACCTGGGTCTATTTGCTCAAAAATCTGCGAGAAATGTATTTAGTTGGTAATCTAAACTCAGAAAACAACAAGATGATAGCTCTAGAGTCTTTACGAGAACTGAAACACCTAAAGATCTTGCACCTTAAAAGTAATCTGACCAAAGTTCCTTCAAATGTTACAGATGTTGCACCACATCTTACCAGTCTTGTGATTCATAATGATGGAACTAAACTTTTAGTGCTGAACAGCTTAAAGAAGATGATTAATCTAACTGAACTGGAGTTGCAGAACTCTGAGTTGGATCGAATTCCACATGCTATTTTCAGTTTGACCAACTTGCAAGAACTGGATTTGAAGTCCAATAACATTCGTACGATTGAAGAGGTGATAAGTTTCCAGCATCTCAAGCGCTTAACTTGTCTAAAGCTGTGGCACAACAATATCATCACCATTCCTTCATCTATCAGTCTTGTGAAAAACCTCGAGATGCTTTATTTATCTCAGAATAAACTAGAATCTCTGCCCTTGGCTCTCTTCAATTTGCAGAAGCTCAGATACTTGGATGTTAGTCACAATGGCATTTCTACAATTCCCTCAGAAATCATGTCTCTCCAGAATTTACAGTATTTTGCCATCACAGGAAACCGAGTAGAAGTTTTGCCAAAGCACATTTTTAAGTGCACAAAATTGCGTAGTTTGAATATGGGACAAAACTGCATTACTTCAATTTCAGAGAAAATTGGCCAGCTTGTACAGCTTACACAGCTCGAGCTGAAGGGAAACTGCCTAGACAGACTTCCAGCAGAGTTAGGCCAGTGTCGCCTTCTAAAGAAAAGTGGACTTATTGTTGAAGATCATCTGTTTGATACACTGCCCTCTGAAGTTAAAGATCTGTTTAATCAAGACTTTAACTCAAATTCTACTTTTGGCCCAGGAATATAAAGTATTTGAGCAAACTATATGTAGCAGTTTTGCAACTGAATGTTTGTTTGCCAGTTGACTGGAAATATTGTATAACTAGATCAAGGTACTTAACACAACTGTTGGAAAAACTATATTAAAAAAGAAGCAAACTTGTGTCCTTAAAAAGGTCTGAAGTTGTTGTAACTAATTAACTAAGTGTTAATTACTGGTTGTCTTATAAATGTCTGTTACGGATTGACCATTTTGTTCACACATCCTTTACTTGTAAATGTTCGGATTTAATTACCCGCTCCCCATCCAGCCTTCCGTTTTTTTTAAACTCGTTTTTCAATTTTTTCAGCTGTCTAGGTCTCTCCGGACTGTTTTTCAATCTAATTTTTTCCAGATCTCTTCTCTCCCAATACTGGCCCTGAACTGGGCACTCACTGGCCCTGAACTGACCACTGTAAAATGTGCAAGAGCAGCTTATTGCGCCAAACTCTGACTTCATCCCGTCCTCGCTGTGGGAACCTCCCTGTTGGAAGATCGCTTCTCCCTCTTAGCCCCTCCTCTTGGTATCACAGCTGAAATCAAAAGCTTGCAATGTATGGGCGTAAACCCAAGTCATGCCACTCCATAGTACCATACCACTATCGTTGTGTTTTTGTAGCAAGGGAAGATTCAGACTCTTCAACTATTAATTTAATGTATAGAATACCTCAGTGTCTGGTTCCCAGTGCCAACTTCAGCTATTGTTTTTGTTGAAAAAAATGCATTTCAAAGTTGATTGTTTTTTTATTTGCCTGGTAATGAATGACTTTCAAATAAGAAATGCTACAGAGACTAATTTTAGTACAAAGCACTCCTCAATGTCTGTTGTGCAAAAATAAGTTCCCTGGAGGGAGATGTTATCTGGGAAGGGAGATATCAATCTGGTGAATTTCCTTGTAACTCTGCTCTTGCACTCTGATGACCCATATTGCAGTGGTAAACGAGATGGAACCTGAAGGTGCTTTATTTATTTGAAATGAAATTGGTGCTTCAAGCTATCCTACAGGCTGATCCGGAGACAGACAAAACAGGAAAGCCTACAGTAATACACAAGAATGAACGGTGCTGCTTTGGGAATAGCATTGAGCCTATCCCATTAAACTCATTTACAAATTGGCACTGGGTGCAAGCAGAGACATGAAATTACAGGCCTCTCCAGGAGAGAAGTAATTCACAGAAACTTCAGTTACTTAAGTAAATAACACATGCAGTGGAGCAGTTGTACTGAAGATCCTTATTGGCATCTCCTTTACCCATAAATGCTTGAGATCCTTAGCAGTCTTATCACAAGCAGTGCTCGGTTTTGCAGGCTGAAATGCATGGAAATTTAAAATGTCCTCATAAGAAGTAATTATACTTATCTTTTAAAGGCTGTTTGAATGTGATTTGTAGGTTTCTATTTTTTTCTAATTCTCTTACAGTTTCATAAGAGAAAGGAATTATTCCTCTTTTCTTTTCCGTTCCCACAAATTGGTAAAATAGCACAACAGGGTAATTTTATCAGCAGATTTTAGTGCTTCTAAATGATTGCATTTGCATCTCAGGTGCAACTCTGAGCATCAACTAGATATTAAGTGGGCAGAATTCCCAGATTTTTATGCATTGCAACCCCATGACCGGATAACTAAAAGCTGGTAAAGTAATAATCAGGCAAGTGGAAAAACCTTGATTTTGAAACTCTATTTAAAAACAAGTCAATAATAAAAGTACTAGGAATTAGATAGTGGAGGAATGTTGTGCATTAGCTACAAATGAATGGAGAGTTTTTGTTTAACTAATGTATCGTGACTGGATCCATACCAACTGGTAAATTATCTAGGAACTTTGGCTATTGTTCTGTAACATAAGCACGAGCATGCGCACTTGTAGAACATTGTGATATAAAAGACCTTTTCTAATAAGTGGCTGCTACATTCATGATGCTTATGACCTCCTTTTTGCCATCAAAACAACTGAGGATTTAAATCAAGCTAGTATAGTGAGGCCTGGCACTGAGTTCAATCATTATCGCTCATTTATTGAAGTTGCGAGGTCCCCTTACTGCTTGGATTCAGTATTTTGCATATTGTGCAGAAATCAGCGTTGATTTATGGTAATATTTCAGAGCCCAGTCTTCCCTTTGTATTCTGGTACAAATACCATTTCATAAAACAAGGTTTGCTTACATTTTGAAAATTTCCTTCCCAGGTAATGTACATGCTAAGAAGTTCTTGGGCTTGGAGGAGTTGTCCATCTAAATCCTGGGTAGAGTGCAACTTTGTCTGCCCGCAGATCTTTGTGTGCTGTGTGTGTGTGTGTATGTGTTTTATTATGGATGCAAAGCCATGACAACTTAGTGCAACAGCTATTTAATTTATTTTTAAAATAAAGGTACTTTGCAGGTAGCTCTCTTTTTCTCCTAGAAAAAAACAAATGCACAAATGCGCAAAATTCAGGTATCTTATAGCTATTTTCCATTTAAATTTGATGGTGTACAGGACAGGCCTCACTAAAAACTAGACGTTTCGGGCACTACAGGCAAAATACGTTTTTATTTATTATGTTAAATCATGTCAGCAATTCTCCAAATCAACTGTAGTGCAAATACAATGAATTCTATTTTTCTGAAGCTTTTTTTATAAACCAAATGAAAGACCAGAACACAATTTTTTTTGGTTTTAGCTCTGTATTGTAAACTTGCAACATTTATAGATTTCTATAACTGTTTTTGCCACTGTGCATTTTCTGCAGGGATATTTGAAATGTACAATATATTGACACAACCACGGCATTTTAAGAAAACAAAAATTGTACTTGAAAGATGTTTGTCTCGCTCTTGCATGCCTGTATGCTTTTGCCCTGAGTTTGTGATTCTCAAAACCTGACGCCTGATTTTCTTTTATTTAAATTGTAATTTGTGATAGATGTTCTGTTAATTTTAGATAAATAATGTTATCTTCTTAAATGGCATTGCACTATTGATTCTTAACAGAACGATTCCTAGTTGTTTTAAAGAACACAATAAAAGTTTTGAAACTATCACATATGTATTTGCTAATACTATTGTAAGCCAGTTTTTATGAGTCATGCCTGCCATCTAGTGTCAATTCATAGTCAGTGAATCGTACCAGTTTCTGGCTCCTGCTTATCAACCATCAAACGCCTGCAAACACTTCGATTTTTTTTTCAGGATACGAGAACCTACAGACAATCAAAAACAGTGATTAATAACAATTTGTCACTAACTAGGGCCATGACTTGATTTCATATCGTTTTCAATGCCTTCAAGGCCCTCCACAGCCCTGCTCCTCCCTACCTCTAGTATCTGCTGACCTCATATCAACCTATCCGCGCCTCCCGCTCAGCAGCTGTGGCCTGCCCTGCTATCAGCCGGCAGGCCTTCAGCCTTCCTGTCTCCACCCTATGGAACTTCATCGCACATTGCCTTCTCCTGGCTCCCTCCCTTCCCTCCTTCAAGGCACAGCTCAAAACCTTCCTTCGACTGAGCCTTCGGCCATCCTCCCTGCCCTCCACCCTCCCTGATCTCGACCCCCAGCTTGGGGCCGAATCCCTGACTGTCCAGCGCCTAGGGATGTCCTCCCTACTTGAAAGGCGCTGTACGAATGTAATTTTGTATTGTATTTTCAGGATGAAAGATCACCGTACATCGGTACAGCTAGTTATATTAATAATCAAAATTCAGGATTCTTCAAAATTCATACAAACTTTGTGAACAGTGTCCACAAAGTAGTGCCGGACCTCTTATTCTGACCAGAACGCTTTCAAAAGAGCAGGCTCAGTGACCGAAACCTAATTATTCCTGTAAATAAGGAAATGTGACAATTTTTGCCGACAGATGGAATTCCCAGCGACAGACTGGTGGCGTGGAATGCACACTCTCTCCCTGGAGGGACGCATCCTGCTTGCCTAATTCCGGAAAGTATTCGGTGCAGGTCGGCAGGGAGCCAAGGGCTTGGGGATCCCAGAGTGCGACTGCCGGAGTCGAAGCAGCCACACCAGCGTGGCTTGCCGTTGGTGTGGCTGTCCGACGAGCTTTCCCGCTGCTTGTCCGGCTAGGACCACCCCTACACGTTACAGCTTTGGCTTGCAGGGCTAATAGGGGCTGCGCGGGAGGATTCCCTGCCCCAAGTGAACGGTCTCCCCCCCCCTTTCCAGGTCCGGCCGAGGCTGGGCTGCCCTGTCGTCAGCGGTGAGGACCCTGGGATGCTGCGGACTCTCGAGACCGCCACAGAGGGTCGGCTCGATTCCAACGTCCCACTGGCGGGCAGGTCACCTTGGAGCCAGTTCAGCTCCATGGAGATTCCCCCCTCCCACCACCACCACCCCCCCCCCCAAACCCAAACCCCAGGACAGTACTTGAACGTCCAATCCCTGAGCGGCGTGTTGCCAGGATGAAAAATGGCGGCAGCACGAACACTCACACGTGGGGTGGTGCCAGTCGGTGGCCACGCACGCGCAGTAGCTCTCCCCCCCCCCAACCCCCATCACCTCGAGCGGCGACCGTTTGCGAGAAAAAAAAAGTTCAACCGCGAACAGCGCGCGGCCCTGACCTCCTGGGCCTCCCTCGGTCCTCTTTCTGTCTGAGCCCTTCCTACGGTTTACTAAGACTTAGTCACTGGAGGCTGGGGAGGAGCTGTAAGCCCATGTAGCATGTCAGATGATAAGCAGATGAGAGGAAAGTGAGTCTTACTTCGAATTGTATTAGAAAAGACGGAGGTTGTTGAGGCCTTGCCTTCAGTCAGGCTCGAGCGGACCCCTTCCTGAGCGACGCCGAGGCCGCGGGGGTTAGGGCTAGAGCAGGAATAGGTCAGGATGGGACCCGGTGTGGGGCTGCGGCCGGCGAGGATGGGCACGGGTGTGGGTCAGTGGCATCCGAGGACGCGCCTTGGTGCGGGCCCGGAGCAGGCGAGGATGCGAACTAGTATGGGGCTGGTGGGGCTGGGGCAGGCGAGGGTGGGACCCGGCATTGGGCTGGGCCAGGAGAGAATGAGACCTGGTCTGGAGCAGCAGCAGGCATGGAAGGGACCTGGTGTGGGGACGGGGCAGGCGAGGATGGGACCTGGTGTGGGGCTAGGGCAGCAGGGGATGGGGCTGGGGCAGGGGAGGATGGGACCTGGTGTGGTGTTGGAGCAGGGGAGGATAGGATCTGGTCTGGGGCAAGGGCAGGGGAGGATGGGACCTGGTGTTGGACTGGGGCAGGTGAGGAAAGGACTAGATGTGGGGCTGGGGCAGCAAGAGATGGGACCTGGTATGGGACTGGGGCAGGGGAGGATGGGAGCTGGTTTGGGGATGATGGGGCAGGGGCTGGGGATGATGGGGCAGGGGACGATGGGGCAGGGGACGATGGGGCAGGGGACGATGGGGCTGGGGACGATGGGGCTGGGGACGATGGGGGCAGGGGACGATGGGGCTGGGGCAGGGGCAGAGGATGATGGGACCTGGTGAGGGGCAGGGGCCTGTGAGGATGGGACTCGGTGTGAGGCCGGGGCAGCAGGGGATGGGACCTGGTGCGGGGCTAGGGCAGGGGAGATTGGGATCTGGTGCGGGGCTAGGGCAGGGGAAGTTGAGATCTGGTGCAGGGCTAGGGCAGGGGAGGTTGGGACCTGGTTTAGGGCCAGGGCAGCAGGGACCTGGTGCGGGGCTAGGGCAGGCGAGGATGGGGCTGGGGCAGCAGGGGATGGGACTTGGTGCAGGGCTAGGGCAGGGGATGGGACTTGGTGCAGGGTTAGGGCAGGGGATGGGACTTGGTGCAGGGCTAGGGCAGGGGATGGGACTTGGTGCAGGGCTAGGGCAGGGGATGGGACTTGGTGCAGGGCTAGGGCAGGGGATGGGACTTGGTGCAGGGCTAGGGCAGGGGAGGGTGGGACTTGGTGCGGGGCTAGGGCAGGGGAGGATGACATCTGGTATGGGCCTAGGGCAGGGGAGGATGGGACCTGGTGCGGGGCTAGGTCAGGGGAGGATGGAAGCTTGTATGGGGTTGGATCAGACGAGGATGGGACCTGGTGTGGGGTTGGATCAGCCGAGGATGGGACCTGGTGTGGGGTTGGATCAGTCGAGGATGGGACTTGGGGTGAGGTTGGATCAGCCGCGGATGGGACCTGGCAAGGGGCCGCAGCAGCAGGGGATGGGACCTGGTGTAGGGATGGGGCAGGGGAGGATGGGACCTGGTGTGGGACAGGGGAGGATGGAACTGGGGCTGGGGCAGCAGGGGATGGGATCTGGTGGGGGTTTGGGGCAGGGGAGGATGGGACCGGGTTTGGGGATGGAGCAGGGGAGGATGGGACTGGGTTTGGGGATGGGGCAGGGGAGGATGGGACCTGGTGTGGGGATGGGGCAGGGGAGGATGGGACCTGGTGTGGGGTTGGGGCAGGGGAGGATGGGACCTGCTGTGGGGCAGCCCAGGATGGGACCTGGTGTGGGGCTTGGGCAGCCCAGGATGGGACCTGGTATGGGGCCGATGCAGGGGCAGGGGAGGATGGGACCTTATGTGAGGATGGAGCAGGCGAGGATGGGACCTGGCGTGGGACTGATGCAAGGGCAAACAAGGATGCGACCCGGTGTGGGGCTGGGGCAGGCGAGGATGGGTCCTGGTGTGAGGCTGGGGCAGGCAAGGATGGACCTGGTGTGAGGCTGGGGCAGGTGAGGATGCAACAAGGTTTAATTTTGATAATATTGGCTGCCACTTGTGAACTAATAAGGGTTTGTTATCTGTCAGCAGTTTGCTATCTGGAGTCCTGTAGCTTAGTGGTTAGAGCACTTTCCTAGCAAGCGAGAGGACTTAGGTTTGATTCCTGGGAAGGTCAGAACACTGGGCAACTTTCCTTACTCCACACACCTGTTTATCTAGCAGAAAGTAGGAACCCAGAGGTTGTTAATCGATTGGCGAATCGCTTTTCCGGGGGTAATAATCCCTTCAAAAATAATAATAATTTGGCCATTCAATCCATGACTGTTTGTGACTCACTGCTGTGTGCAATTGGCTGCCGTGTTTCGCCCACAAAATATACAGTCCATTCACTTTACAGTGTATTCTGTGAAGCACTTTGAGACATCTCAAAGACTTGATAAGGCCCTATATCAAATGCAAGGATTACAGTGCATACATCAGGTACATTATAGCACCTTAAATTTGATTAATCTCCCACTGCTTTCCCTGGATTGTGGCTTCAATCAATCAGATGTCACTCTCAGGTCTGATTTTCTTCAGTTATTGTTAGTCACTGAGCAGCTTCCTTTGGCTGAAAGAAGTACTTTGAGAACAACTATCAGACACTGAAACAAAAAGAATGGGCAGCTATTGTGTAGCATTAAAAATAACTTAAATGTGATTTTCAAGTGACCCCACCATACCACTATTTACATTTTATTGGTCTTATCTGTTTTTGTTCGGTGCAATGTACCTCCTGCTCTTAGCTTTGAACTTCCTTTCATCTGTATTTTGACATGATTAGTTTCTATATCAAATGCAACTATCTTATTGTTGAACATTAATGATCTTTTAAGAGTAGTGTTCAAAACCATACACAATATTCCAAATATGGCATTACTAAAATCTTTTATAAGCCAGAATGACTTATTTTGATTTAGAGTAAGGTACGTTATAGCTGTATAATAACATTAATGGCAGTAATTCGTAATACCCTTTTTCGTTTTTTTTAGTTATGTTTTCAGTGGTTGAACTGAAGTATTTTGGAGACCAACGGGCTACATTTAAAATCTTAAAACCATGGTGGGATGTTTTCACAGACTATTTAACAGTTTTGATGCTTATGATAGCAGTGTTTGGAGGGACGCTGCAGGTAAACATTTTTGCATTTAGATACATTAAATTTAGCAGAATAGTTTGCCTATAGAAGTATTAATGTTTCGGGTAATAACTTGAAATATCTTTGGGGTCACATCTTGAAGTAATATGTAGGCTATCATATTTAATCTTGTTTGAAATGTCATTGATTTTGTTTTGATCGGCTGGGTGCCTGACACATGCAGAAACTCATCACCATGCTTAAGCATATCCAAACCAAACAGAGTTCCATACATCACACCTATACATGGAAATTCAAGAGATGTTTATTGAAGTGCAATGTGCACTCTATCCCTGGAGGGATGCACCCTGCTTACCAAGTTCTGGAAAGTATTATGCACAGATTGGCAAGAGCTGAGACTTGATGATCCCATAGTGTGTTGGGATACTGCTGGAGTCTAACCAGCTAAAACTACAATGCTTGCCATTGAAAGCTGTAACTGGCAAGCTGTCCCACTGCTTGTCCAGCTAGGACCACCCTACCCGTTAGGTCTTTGGCTTGCAAGGTTAACGAAAGCTGAAGAACTCCTTGCACCCAGTCACTATTCTGCCCTTCCGAGTCCTACTAATGAGCCAGCCTGGTTGTGCTGTCATCAGCAGTGCCTCGGAGTATTGTGGACCAGACTGGGTCATGGACTGAACTACCGAGACCACCACAGAGGATGCCTTGATTCTGACATTCCATAGCCAAACACATTTCGCCCACAAAATACACAGTCAATTCACTTTACAGTATATTCTGTGAAGCTTTAAGATATCTTGAAGATGTGATAAGGCGCTATAACAAACACAAGAATTATTATTATGTCATCTTGGAGCCAGTTCAGCTCCAAGGAGACCCTGCTCACCCCCCCCCCCCCCACCAGGCGGATTGTCGCTAGTTGGTCATTTGCCATCCAACAAGCTTTGGTTTGAGCCGTCACTGGGTGGCTGGCGGGTACCAGGAACTCCTTGCGAGCTTCCTGGTGGGCAACACATCTCAGCATGAAATGCTTGAAAGAGTTGCCATCAACTTCCTGCCACAGCTTGGACACACATCTCTTCCCATTGAGTGAGGGTTCCACCAGTTGGAAGTACAGAGATTAATAGCAGCTGCTGACCTCTGCAAAGCAATCAAGTGGATTCCAGCTCTCAATGTACAAATGTGTGTTCATGAACTTTGTCACTGTTATCAAGTAGTAATAGTATGCATACTGCTTATCAGTATGAAACACTGGAAATTAATTGTACTTGTCCAACTAGACCATCCTACCTGTTCGAGCTTTGGCTTGTTGGCATATATGGACTGAAAATCAGAGTCTCTTTGATAATCTTGCAAGACCGTCACTAACACCTTTCGTTGCCATGAATTACTGCAGACATGCATGGCATTGTCAGGCAAATCTTCACTGAGCCAGTTGAACCAAAGGAAAGCCTGCATTACAAGATAAAGCATTTAATATACTGAAAAACTTTCCAGTGTTTTATACTGATGAGCAATTTTGAAAAAAAGTATTTAACAAAAATAACATTTGGTGAGTATGACCAAGTACTATTAAAACATTTTGTTGCAGAAATTGCAATAGCTTTCACTTGGACATGGCCCCATAAAATGACAGAGCCTGTTAAATCATGAATTATAATATAATTTCACTATCAGAGTTTGAAACAATATTGATATTGTTTTAATACTAATTTAGCCACATAAATTGTATCTTTTTTAAAATCACTATTACATTTCCAGTGGGACAACTATCAATTTCTCACCTGTTTACAAATTATTTCAGTCACAACAGGCGACTGAGATCCCAAATGTCAGTTTATGTTCATCATCTTGTTAAATTGAGACTTCAACCAGAAAAATGTTTGAAAATCAATTCCATATTCCATCAACATACAGTTTCCCAACTCCATAATGTTGAAATCATGCTTTAAAAATGTGTCATAGTTCAGTGTGATCTTGTAGAGTAGTCATTTCTGTTTTTTTGTTTGATGCTGATGGCATTCTAGCAGTGTCAGCTCTGGTCTCCTCTGTATGCATATATCCTTTGGTTCCTAACTGCACATTTTGAGTGTCATGTTCTCTGTTCAAGCCTAACAAAGTTAACTGAAGTTTGCCAACCAATTTTTTCTTTTGTGAAAAATCTCAGCTGCATATTTTGGAGACTCTTCTAGGTGAAGTTTCACATAGTGCCTACTAGGAATTTTCAAAATAGTACAAATAGACTTGAGTCATATTTTTTCTTTAATACTTAATTTGGGCTATCATAGTGAAAATGATCGTACTTCTTGGGAGTATGTATTCTCACCAAGCGGGGATTCCTTGGAGCTGAACTGGCAAGGTGACATGCCTGGCAATGGAATATCACAATCAAGCCAGCCCTCTGTGGCAGTCTCAATAGTCCGGTTCCTGAGCAAGGTGGATCCGCAGTATTCCAGGGCACTGCTGATGACAGCGGCTCATCAGCAGGACTTGGAAGGGCAGACCAGTCACTGGAGGCAGCAACATCAATGGCAAGCTATGCAGCATCAGCTGGTTAAGACTCCAGCAGTACCCCAAAGCACACTGGTGTTCTCAAGCCTTGGCAACCTGCGCCTAATACTTTCTGGAATTAGGTAAGCAGGATGCATCCCTCCAGGAAAACAGTGTGCATTACATTCCAACAATCTATCTCTGGGATTTCTATGTGTAGGTGGGATGCATGGGAATCTCAGCTTGGTTTGGATACTCTTAAGCATGGTGATGGGTTTTTACATGTGTCAGACTCCTGGCAGACCAGAAATATATATTTTAAAACTGAGGAATATAAAACAATTGTGATTAACAGAGAAGTAGGTGAAAACTGTTTGCATCAAGCTGATTTCATGGTAATTTTCTTTTTGTGTCTCATGTTTTAAATGTAGATATCAACAGACAAGATAATCTGCGTCCCTGTGCCAGAAGGATTCTCAATGATCACAATGCAGTGGAATAAAAGTGCTCTTATAGGTCGAAAATTAAATAGTTTGGGTTCTGGATTTAAGACTGACTTGGACCATGAACAGTATAATTTGATGGATCAATATTGCTATGACCATGCAATTCAGTGGTACTCCAAATATTTCCCATATATAGTTATCATTCACACACTTGTATTTTTAGTGAGCAGCAACTTCTGGTTCAAATTTCCAGGTACAAGTTCTAAAATTGAACATTTTATTTCAATCCTTGGGAAATGTTTAGATTCTCAGTGGACTACAAAGGCACTTTCAGAAACTGTTTATGAGGATTCTGACTTACAATTTCCACAGAGAACTGTTTTAACAACAAATGAATCTGTGTCATGCTCTGGGAGCCTTCAGCCAACATCTGAAACCACTCTTTTGTTAGGACAAAAGGAAAGCAGTTCTGACACAGTATGTCAAAATGAATCCCAGGAGCCACTTTGTAAGATGCCTTCAAAAACCTTCAAAACTGTTGGAGGTGGCGTTTATGGGCATGCTTCTGTGAAAATCCTTGATAAAAAGGAAGGTGAACAAGCAAAAGCATTGTTTGAGAAAGTCAAAAAGTTTCGTCTCCACACTGAAGAGGGTCACATTCTTTATTTGATGTATATAAGACAAACTATTTTACGCTCTGTTCAAACAATTATCATTTTAGTCTATTTTGTAACTCTGATTCCTCGAATGAAACATATTGTCCATTGTATAGATAAAATTCATTTTACAGGCTTCACAGATTTTTTCTGCATTCATGGTCTCTGGAGGATTTTCAGAATGTTATCCATAGTGTATGTCGTTGTCATATTTATTTATTGTATAACCTGTACATACACATTGTACTGGATCTTCTACTTTAAACTTAAGGAATACTCATTTGCTTATGTGAGGGAAGAAACGGGGATTGATGATATTCCAGATGTGAAGAATGATTTTGCATTTTTGTTGCATCTGATTGATCAATATGACAAACTATATGCTAGGAAGTTTGCTGTGTTTCTTTCTGATGTTAGTGAAAATAAACTTCGTCAGTTAAGTCTGAGTTATGAGTGGACACATGAAAAACTTCAACAACGTATTGCTACAAATGAAGACAACAAAACTGAATTACATCTTTTTATGATGCCTGGTATTCCTAACAGTGTTTATGATATCTATAATCTAGAAGTACTAAAGCTGGAATTTATTAAGGATGTCTCGATTAGTGCAGCTATCTCACAGCAAACATCGCTTCAAGAACTATGGGTATACAACTGTATTATAAAGGTAGAAAATCGAGCACTTGCATTTTTGAAAGATACAATAACAATTTTAAGAGTTCGGTTTGCAAATGCTGATGAAATACCACAGTGGATGTACAGTCTGAAGAATCTTCATGAATTATACCTGGAAGGCAACTTTTTAATTGACAACAAATCTATTGTCTTGCAGTCATTCTGTGAATTAGAACATCTTAGGTCATTGCATCTGAAATCCAATATCACCAAAGTACCTGCAGTGGTTGCTGATGTTGCCCATCACCTTCAGCACCTTTCAATTCATAATCAAGGCAAGAAGTTGACTACTCTCAACAATCTCAGGAAATTACTTTGCCTGTCTGTTCTAAAACTTTACAATTGTGATCTGGAGCGAATCCCAAGTGCTATTTTTAGTCTGAGTAACCTTCAGGAACTTGACCTCAAAGACAACAACCTAAGGACTGTAGAAGAGTTGGCCAGTTTCCAATATCTTCGCAAGCTTGTCACACTGAAGCTTCAACATAATAAAATCACACAGATTCCTCCATATATTGCCAAGGTCATCTCACTGGAAATGCTATATCTAAACAAGAATAGCATTGCTGTTCTTCCACCGAGTCTATTTAAACTAATTAAATTACGGCATTTGGAAGTTGGTCATAACAGTATTATAAACATTCCCAGTGAAATAGAACAATTAGAGGATCTTCACTATTTTGATATTGAAAGTAACAAAGTATCTGAATTACCCTTGGAACTTTTTCACTGCACAAAACTCAGAGTTTTAATACTTTCCCATAACCTTTTACCTTTCATTCCACCCCAAGTGGGAAATTTGACTCAACTCCGGCAACTGGAACTGAAAGGTAACAGATTGCAAGAGTTACCACATGAACTAGAGAAGTGCCTAAATCTGAAGAGAAGTCAACTTAATGTAGAAGAGGACATCTTTAATACATTACCATATGACATCAGAGAGCAGTTCCTAAGCAGAGAGTCTATGTGAATTGTGAGTACATTATGTAGTATTACATAAGGACCGTAACTAATTTTCTATAATTTGGAAGTAGATAAATAAGATATGTTTCCACTGTACCATGACTGCTGCTGAAATTATCTTGTGCTTGATTGTTAGATGAGGAAAGAAACTGGTTCAATTGCAATTGCCCAATGGTTCAATAGCATGTCAATGTCAAGACTGTCACATGAAGAATAGCCACTTAGCTTACGATTTAAAATGTTATGTTTTGTGAAATGTTTTACGGCCAATTTATTTGCCAAGTGAAATGAGATATTTGGGTTTATTTCACTGGAATTTCAGTATATCTGAGTTAAATATAAACCATGGATCAATAATACATTTCATTTGTTGCACAAAATGTGATTAGATTGCTTTTAAGTCATAAATTGTACCATTATATAAACTTACAGTAAATTTGATAATGTGTTCATGAGAAAATATTGCAATATCATGTGATGAGGATAAATCTTGATCATCAAAATATGGCAGAATATTTGAACATGACATAATTTGGCTAGTTGGATTTTGTATTTACGAGATGCCCCAAAAGTAATGACTCCCTATTTATTTTGTGAAAAATGTTAGGTGGTACAGTATTAAAAAACATATACAAGATACTTTTATATATCATGCTATTGCTGTGAAAGTTTTATTTACTTCTCACTAGATGGAGGCACACGTCGGCGGTTCAAAATGGTGCCTAGCATTGAAACACGTGTTAAGTGGAGAGCAATAATTGAATTTCTCACAGCTGAGGGAATTTTACCGATTGAGATTCACTATTGCATGATGAAAGTGGACACTCGTGTTGATGATAGTACTGCTGGGTATATCGTGTGAAAAGTGGACAAACTGAGCTTCAAGACAGGGTGACCAGCAACAGCTGTTAATGAAGAAGAACCTGAAAGCTCGTATAAGGAGAACACTAACATGGCAGAACTGCTTCTGCGCCACGACAATGCCAGACTTCAAACGAGCCTCAGAACATCAGAAGCAAATGGTCAATCGGATGAACTTTGCTTCCTCACTCTTCATACAGCCCAGACTTGGTGCCCTCAGACTTTCATCTCTTCTGTCCTCCGAAGGAAGGCCTATGTGGACAACACTTCGAAAACATCGATGCCCTGAAGAATGCTGTTTGTTAATGGCTCCAAAACAAAGACATATCATTCTACCGTAATGGCCTACTGGCACTGACTGGTTCCATATTGGCACAAGTGTGCAGTTCGGGAGAGTGACTTTGTAGAAAAATAACTGCGCTGATGTATTTAAAAAGCTTCATTTGTGTTTATGTTTAGTTAATAAGTTAACAATTAAACAATTTTGAGAAAATAGAAAGGAGGCATTACTTTTGAGACATCCCATGTAGATGCTTTAAGATAAAATTCAGTTTCCATTATTACAGCCTTTTTTTTTCACAAATGCATTGCTTTGAAGTTTTTGTGAGAGTTTTAGCTTTCGGTTTGTTCTTAGTGCTATTGGTAAGATTTACTCTTTTTTTAAAGAAAACAATGTCTTTTGCCAAGATATATCTTTACATTGTTTTTTCTGCTTCCACAATTTGTTCTCTCATTTATGTTTTCAGTGTATTCTTTTTAAAACAAAATGTTTAGACTGGCTTTACCTTTTAAGGCAGAGTTCCTGATATCACGTCAATTGCTGTCAGTTAGTGAGCAGGTGTCCATTGAGAGAATAGAGTTCTGAACCCTTACAGCTGCTAATCCAAAACTGTCATTTATTCTCTAACCCATTATACAGTTCCATAATTCATTTTTAGCTTCTCTTTGTCTGATTTTGAAGCAAAAAAAACTGACTTGATAATCTTTTAAAATGAATCACAAATCAGGCTTCAGAATAGCTGCAAACCTCATGCCAGATCTGTTGTCTTGTACAGTAGTTGGAATTTGAAATAATTTGATTATCTGGGACCTTTCAGGGCATGTTTATTGGAAATGGCACCAACGGGTGGGTGAAAATGTAAGCTTTTCAAGATCCTCCGCTTCAACCGTGCCTTCGGTCACCCTCATACCCCTATCCCCCACCCCTCCTGATCCCAACCACCAGCTTGGGTGCAGTGCGGATCTCTGTATAGCATCTTGGGACGTCCTCCTGACGTGAAAGGTGCAGTACAAATATAGTTTATGTTTGTTGTCTTATCACTTTGGACAAAGTAATTGTAAAAATAAACTACTGAAAATGCCTAAAATACATTCTCGGTATACTTTTTCTATTGTATCTGAGAAATAAAATAAACAACTGAAATTGACGAGAATATATTTTCCGCATTTGAAAGAAATAATTGAAAATAAAACTTGAAAATGACTGGAATGTGTTTTGTTTTTACAATATATAATACAAAAATAACCGAACTAAAATTCTATCATTTGCATGTGAAAGTGAAATGGTAAAAGTAGGGCAATTTTTTTGAAAATGAATACACTTCCTGCCTAATGGATTTTCTGAAATGATTTAATTTCCAGAATAAAGACTACACCTAAATATGAGTAATCCTTATCAGCGCAAGACCAGGCTGTGGACCACTTTGTTACACGAACACTAGACTTCTCTAAGGAAGCTTGCAACATTAGAAAATGAACCATTGAACCATTATACGTATTTATTAATTATACAATATTATTTATCATTATACAAAAACAATAATAAATTGGTCATTTTCAATCCACGACTGTTTGTGGGACACTGCTGTGCGCAATTGGCTGCTGCGTTTTGCCCACAAATATACAGTCAATTCACTTTACAGCATATTCTGTGAAGCGCTTTGAGACGTCGAGAAGACGTGAAAAGCGCTATATCAAATGCAATGATTATCATTATTTTCATCTGGCATTCAGGTGATGTGATCCTGAGCAGTTGAATCACTTGGCCCTCACAATCCGAATCAGGTTTCGCCCACAAAACATAACAGTATATCCCGCGAAGCACTTTGTGAGACTCCTCAAAGACCCGATAAGAAGCTCTTAATCAAAACACAAAGATGATTTATTTCTTCGGGGCTGGTGACCCATTAAGCACTGTTCTCTTGTTACAAAGTGAAATTGAGTATTAAACTGCATCCTCAGAGGTAAACCCCCCTTCCCCCCCGCCCCGTGGCTCCTGAGATACAGCAGCCAGTAACGTGTGGCGAAGCTGCCCTTTTATCTCAAGTGCGGTGTGAACGTATCGGGCGGGTGTGGCTTGTTGATAAAAGCGAACGCTGCGCCGGAGGGGGGCGGGAGGGCTCCTACATTTGCGTGACACGGGCAGCGAGCGCCTGTCGACATGGACGGACTTCGAGGTAGGATCTGGGCCTTGGCCCCGTCGCGCTACGGCCGCCGCTACCCCTATTCTTCCTCCTGAAGCCTTATTGTCCAGGCGATGCGGGGAGGGAGGGAGGATTCCCCTCCGTGTCCTATTCCGGCGATTCGGCTCGGACCACAAGCGGGAGGGCGGGCGGGCGGGAAGGCCTCTTCGCCTCGGTTTTTAAGATGCGAGGCCGGGCCTCGGATTACCAGAGCTTGAACGCCTCTGGCGAATGGGCCCTCGATGGATGGGGTTGTTGGTGCGGCGGTGGTGGTGGTGGTGGGAGAGAAGGAGAACAAAAGAGGAGGAGGAGGAGAAGAAGAAAGGCCGTTTTGTGGCGCGCGCTGTCTTGTCTTGACCGGCGGTTTTAATCGCTATAAAATGGCGGCTCGGAGGGCCCGGGTTGTGCGGCGCGGTTTTTATTTGTACACCGCGCGCGAGTGTGTGTGTGTGTGTGAGAGAGAGAGAGACTGAGTTTCGGCCATGCGAGTTGTGGAAAGGAGAGCAATGGTCTGGGAAACAGCAACTCGGAAACCGGGCTATATATATTTGTGTGTGTGTGTGTGGGGGGGGAGTGGGGAGACCGTTGGCGAGAGCGCGCGGAGCCATTTTGAACGATCCGGTATCTCTCCCTGCGGTTTGACGCCGAGGAAGTTCTTGCTTAAGGTCTCCTCGCGGCCGTCGGTCGGCGAAGGAGATCGTGGTAATGGAAAACGTGACGCTGAAGGTTAACCGTTTTAAATAGGGAGAGGGGAGGGAGGGGGTGAGAGAGAGGGGGGGTGACGGTTAAGACTCGGGGACGGGATCCATGTCGCCACCGGAAACCGGTTCAGTCACTTCATTTACTGTGACTTTTTTTGGGGGGGGAAACGCCTGCGGTCTTTTGGGGATTTTTATCTGATGATAGAACTGCATTTGCAACCAGTCTCTCCCCCCCCCCCCCCACCCCCACCACCTCCCCCCCCACCACCACCCAAAGAAAAAAAATAAACAGTGTGAGAGAAATAGCTTAAACGTAGAGGATAAAACTTCCATTGTTACTGTATTTCTACCCCCAAAAAAAGAGAGCACCACCTCGTGAATAAATGCAGGACAAGGCTCTCCAGGTTCTTCTACTTACCATCACCACCACCACCACCAATCTCTTAAAGTGTCGTCAAAACATTTCTTTCTGTCCCTCACAAAAGCCATTTTCATCGGTCTGTCTGTCTGGCCCCTGTAAGGAAAGGACACTTGCAAAATTGTTGGGCCGCAATCGGGTCCTTCTAAATCCCTGGATTCTGCTCGTCTTGTTTGACCACATTGCCAACTGATGCTTTTTTTTAAAAAAAAATTAACAGTTGCACAGAAAGAATTTGCATTTCCGTTCCTCCTTACCATATTCAAACATCTCAAAGAGGAATCGCCGTTAAGTATATATAGCCTGTTTTTTTTTTGATCTGTTGAATGGTTGACCAGGGCACCAGCAGGATATCCCCTTTTGAACTGCAGAATGATATTGACTGGTTATCAGGCGTTTACTATATTTATACCTATCCCTGACTCGCAGCTCACTGTTGTGAGTCAGGGATTCTAAGCCGTTTTCCCTTCGAACATCGATGTCTCTACATCCAGCTTCATGTTCGATGCCTGGCCCGCCTCACAGTCTGCTGTTGGGCCTTCAGCCTCTCTGCCCCCCACCACCCACCATGGCACTCCAACCCTTTGCCTCGCTCCCTCCCTTGCCTCCTCCAAGGCCCGTCTCAAGACCCTCTTCTTCAATTGTGCCTTCGATCCCCCTTATATACTCCTGCCCTCCACCCCTCCTGATCCCAACCCCTAGCTCGGGTCCAAACCCCTGACTGTCCAGTGCCTTGCGACATCCTCCTGATGTGAAAGGTGCTATACAGATGTAATTTGTTGTTGGAATGACAAGTTATGAGGAGTTAGGATGGCACTGAAGCAAATTGTAGCAGCCACCATTTTGTCATCCCCAGCTGTGTTGAGATGACTTATCACAAATCAGAGTGAACTTAATACCTCTCGGGTCTCTGGCTGGCTCAGTAACAGACCAGCTGGTTAATGCACTCATTTAGTAATTGGGTAATCACAAAATACTCACGTGCGGCCCATCCTCACCAATACAGTATTGACATCCTTATGTATGCTTTCCTCACTTAGTAAGATACGAGATCCATTATCTCTGTACTTGCAAACCTCCATTCATGAGGTCCTCGTCCTGCATGTGGGGCGGGACTTCCAAGTTCCTCATCCTTGTTTTTCAAAACCCTCCATGGTCTTTCTTCACTCTACCTGCATATTATTAATAAAAACATAAGTCGCTGGGAGCACAAAGGACGAATGGTCATCGACCTGAAACAGTAACTCACTTTCCTCTCTTCATAGATGCTGCCTGGCCTGCTGAGTGTTACCAGCAACTTCTGTTTTTATTTCAGATTTGCAGTGTTTTGCTTTTTGCCTGCATATTATTAAGCCTAATCTGTGCCCTACTTGTGCTCCTTTTCCTTGCTTTAACAACTGTTAATAAAATAAATACATTAGTGTGTTATAATACACTGTTTTCTTCATACGATTTGCAAACTGGCAAATCAATGCAGTGTCAGCAATTTTCTTATTTTTTTAAAAAGAAATGCTGCTGATATTTCATTTTTTGATCGGGCTATATGATCTAAATTTTCATTGATGCACAGGTGGATCTGAATGGTTGGGCAACAACAATTGGAACAGCAGGGACAACTGGAAATCAGGTGGGTGTGAATGAGTGAAAAGAGCAAAGATAGCTTGAAAATGACTTCAACTTTTTACTTCCACTTTTGATCAAACTTGCCAGACGATCATTTTAAGTAACATAGCAGCCATTTTATTTATTTCATTAGTATTCTTTGGGCTGGGTTAAAAGTGTGACCTGTAGTTGCGGTAGCAATTGCACAACCAGTTAATCCAAATTCTTTGTTTTTGTTAATGTTCTCAAATTAATAAAGACAAATTATTTTTCCACTGAGATAACCATCTGAAGCGGAAGTATTGGATCATTTTCCTTGTGAATACCTGATTATTAGTTTTGAACCATTATAATCTTCCAGTGCATCAACTTTATGTGTATGTTGGAAGAGGTCTTTAAGATGAAAAACTTAAGGATACTGTGTTAAAAATACTAATAACAATAGTTATAAAACACTCTAATTTAGTCCTTTTGTTTATCAGCACATAATGTTACATTGTACATTCTAGTGTATTTTGTTAAACAATTTGCATTTTGCTCCCAAATAATAATCCCTCCAAAACCAAAAACAATAATAAATTGGTCATTTTCAATCTACTACTGTTTGCGGGACATTGCTGTGCGCAATTGGCTGCTGTGCGCAATTGGCTGCTGTGCGCAATTGGCTGCTGTGCGCAATTGGCTGCTGCGCTCGCCCACAAATATACAGTCAATTCACTTTACAGTGTGTTCTGTGAAGCGCTTTGGGACGTCCTCCCGACGTGAAAAGCGCTATATCAAATGCAAGGATTATTATTATATTATTATTATGAATTTGAAAAGTACCACAGAGCTGAAAAGAAATAGTGCATGATAGTCATTTGCTCTACAAAATGCTTATAATATAGTTTAACTTCAATTGCTGGTACAATATTGGCTTTAATCTGTTTCCTACAATCCAATAGACAATCTGATAATGAAGGTTTCATAATGAATGGATTCTGAATTTAATAAAGTCAAAGATAGCATGGAGCCCTGTAGCATGGTTTCTGTAATGCTTTGCATGTTAGAAAAGATGGAGTAAGTTTATATGTTTACAAACTGTGCTTGAGGGATAATGTTCGAATTTGTGCTACTTAAAAGTGAAATCTGATGCCAAATACATCCTAAAAGATTTGGTTTTATGTTGTCAATCAGTAATTTTTTAATTACTAGAACTGTATATCTCTAGGAAATTATAAGTGGTGAAAAATTGCCTAGTGGGAGAGGGTTAACTTGGGTTTCCTTCATAAAAGGGATAAAATGATTTATAAAACTGATAAATGTGGGAGAGAAAAAAAATACTTGAAGAATGAATGCCAACGTAATCCTGTGAAAACTGAAAATTGCCATCAGGGCTGTTGCAATTCCAGCATATTGAAATCCTGAGTGTTGACAGTCTTGCCAGTAAAATTTAAATTTTCATAGGCAAGTTAAATTTTCATAAGCAAGTGAAAATCCAGTCTAGATGTGCAGTACAATTAAGTGTCAGCCCAGGAGCTTGGGTGCATCTCTTTGCAGACCACTAAAACTGAATTTAATATCTTGAAATCTCCCAGGGATTCCTGATGATTATCATATCTTGTGAAGATGTGAAACTTTGAAGTTTGTCCTGAAGCACTGTTTCCCTATTTTCTACAGCAGTCTGGGTCTTAATTACTATATGTTTTTCAATTGGAGGACATACTGTAAATCCCCAACTCCCTTCTTAGCAGCAAATGAATTTCCTGGAATGAATAGCTTAAGCAGTAATTTATGACTGAATCTGTTGAGTACAATTATTTGTGACTGTTGGAGTAGGCAAATTTTAAACAAATCAAAAGCCTAGTTCACTCTCTGCCATAAGGTCTTTCTCTGCCATAAGGTCTTGAGGAAAGGATATTCACTATAATGGAGAATATTGATGGTAAGTCTTGTAATTTTCCATCACAATGAGCTTGACCCAGGATCTTTACTTTTAGGAAGCCGGTTATGATTTTTGTTGTTGGAAGGGTTTGTACAATTCATTGTGGAATATGAATGGAGAATTTGAACAGTGAGTGATTTGATTGCCCTCACTAGTTCTTGAAGAAAAATTAAAATTTTGTTTTAGTTGCTTTGCTGAAGAGGCATTAATTTCACTTTTTCTTTCCTCAAGGGATATGTGATGACTATGACCACGGCAATTATGGAAATTCCAGGTCTTTCCTGGATCCTTATTCAAGTAGGAGTGAAAGGTAGGTGATGTAAGCTTATTTACCGATTGATGCCTTTCTTAACAGTTATTTATAATATATTTTAATCTGATTTTAAAAGAACAAGTGTTTGGCAAACTAATGCATTGTTTTCATAAGGACTCGGATCAGTTTAGCGTGAGAAGACAGGCTCTCTTGAAACAATTTACTTCCCTGTACATTTTTAGATAAGTAAGTTATGCTTAAGTTATGCTTTCTTCCTTTGTAGTTTATTGCTATAAGTGATTCCTATCACAGAAGGTTCCTAATTACCTTTTAATATTGTTTTGGGTTCCACTACTATAGCAAAAAAGGAGGTTTTGATTATTTTTACTGTCCTTTCAAGCTGTAGAGTATTTTCAATTTGCAGGCTTTTATCCAAACCACAACAGCATTCAAAAGAACCCCACCAAAACTGTGGGTATAGTTAAATAAAAATTGGTAGTATATATAGCAACAGGAATAATCTGTGTCAGCCGTGAGTTTTAATTATCCAAACTTAGGTGGTAATCATTAAAATTCATCAATAAATAAAATGGTCATTTTCAATGAGGTTAGAGGTTTTAAAAAAGACTGTTGGAAACATCTTAGATGGGATTAACACGCAGTGTCAGTCCTGAGTATCATGGGACTCTGAGCAGAATTTATTAAAGAGGACAAGTTCCTTCCTATGGTCTCTTCCCCCCCCTCCCCCCGACGCAAGTGCCTTTGCATTTTACTTTTTGTGGGATAATGGGGAACACTTTCTTTTTTTAAAAAAGGTAAGTAGATTTGAACACTGTCATCACTTATAGATCTGGTCTCAAATTTAGTCCAGACAGAAAAATTGTGATTCAGAAGTTCTAAGGGTCTTTCCAAAAAGTTTCATTAGCTTCAGTGCAGTTCCTAGAGGATGAAGGTCTGCAGAATGAAAAATAGTTTACAATTCAACAGCAATCGGTACTAAATCAACAATCTCATGTAAATAGATGGAATGGCATGTGGGAAGTGGAAACATTCAATTTGGTGTAGTTTGTGGTGGTCTGAAGTTGGGCTAAGGCACATTGCTTGGGTGAAGTAGAGAGGTAATCTGTATCTAGCTGTGCCATTCCTGACTTTATGTTGCTTGATGCTGACACCGGGTTGACAAATTTGAATGTTCCATTTACCAGCACCGTGATTTATTACTTAATCAGAACCAACTTTTGTGTGTGTTGGGTGGAGAGGAGGGTCAAAATGACCATATCGCAGCACTTGCTCCTCATAAACCAAATCTAAAATACTGCCTGCTCATAAAATGAGACATAATTTTGCATGCATGAACGCTGGATATTTGGGAGTAAGCAATATTAAACTTCCATATTTGCTGTCTGTGTTCAAATCCAGCTCAGACAGGCAATGATAGTCTCTTCTGCCTGTTAAATGTTTAATGTCCTAAATAGAGTGATATTTGGCTATTTTAATCCTGTTCTCAATTACAACACAGAACTACCTGAAAATCTGGGTCAAGTTTATTACACTCATTCAGTGACCAAAAGGATAAAGTGTGGAAATAGAAGTGTTACATTGTAAACTCTTGTATGATTGGGATCCATGCAGTTTTGATTGTACTCAAAATTTGAGAGTACGAAAGTTTTTACAACACGGTGCAAAGAACAAAGTCTTTCATTGTCCCAACATCATCTTCCATCCTAGATTCGTGCACACTTGCACACCATTTGTTTACTGATTATGGAAGTGTTTAATTCCAATACCTTATTTATCCTAATTAACAATTGGTTGTGTAATTTCATGAAGATAAGTATCGCTATTTTATGTTTAAATGTGAAGGATATGTAGACTGTGAGAGTAAAACATTTTTTATAAGAGCACATATTCAGATGTGAAGTCAGAGGACAAATGAGTTGTTTAGAACATTCAGCTGAAGAAAATGCATCTATAGGAAATCAATATTTGTGTATAGTTGAAAAATATTACTCCACATTGACCAATGGAGTGAAACCAGTTTCAACTCCCCAAAGATATGTCAACATATCCATTACACTTAAACATACTATTTTTCCATTAACATCTTTAAACTGTGGGAATGTCAAAGTATCCTGTTCATAAACATTTTCCAGAGTTTGTTAACAATTTACTGTATAAAGTTTTGAGTTGTAGAAAGCTTTCATTTTAAATAGTTATGGATATGAAAACTAATTGGGCTAATGTTTACACTTGTTCAGCGAGCAATTAAAGTTAATTTTTAAGATTTAAAATGTTCTTAACCCAAATATTAGCATAAACTTTCACATGGAGTTCAAATATGGAACAAAATGAATGTTGATAGTTGAGAGTATACTTCCTAATTCTAGGTAAGTTTTAATATTTTAATGAATGCTTAACACTGTAAATAAGTTTTCATTCTCGTTTTTGTGTATTTACAAATTCAATACAAAGTGGTTTCTTCTATATTTAAGGAACAGATTAATTTGAAGAAACATTTATGAATCTTGTAAATATTGAGACTTCTTCCCACACAAGTCTTTGTAAAATATCACTACTACCTTTTGTTGAGTTTGAAAGCTTATTTTCATTGGCAGCATATTTAATAATATTTTAATAGAAACATAATGCTATGTAAAGTTTATATACAAACATAAACAAGAGTATATACCTACGAAAAAGGGAATGAACATTTGAACCCTTTTTAGCAGGTAAACCATGTTTTGTTCTGGTTTTTATTGTATGTCACTGGTAACTTTACCGGTTTCCTTACTGTGCAATTTTTCCAGGTATGGGCCTTATGAGTCGCATGACTCCAGGTCTTCTCTGGATGGCCGTGATCTGTATAGATCTGGCTACGATTTACATGAACCAGGACGAGGTCGCTATGGGGATAGCTATGCTGATCGATCCGAGAGCTCCTACAGGAATTTCGGTGATCAATACCTTGACCCTTATGAAGGTAGAAGCCAGAGCCGGTTATATGATAATGGCAGGTCTAACTGGGATGACACCTACACACATTCGAGTTCAATGCCTAGGGGATGGGCTGATTCGGATACAGGAAGAGGAAATTACTCTTCCTACAGCAGCTTTTCTTCACTCCTTTCGAAGCCTTCATCTGTAGGCTCTCGGGGGAGGGGAATGCTTGCTTATGGTGGAAACGAGTACGGAGGCGGAACCCATTCGATTCTGGGAGGACAAGGCGGAGGCAGAGGCCGAGGCAGAGAAGTAAGTACAGAATCTTTCAGATTCTATTCCCTTGTCACCTTTTTTAAAGGTTACACAATTATCTTTCTGGCCACTAGCATTCTTTTGCTAGTGGGGGAAATAAACTGTTATCCATTGAAACAAAATGTTAGTATAGTATATAAATGTTTACTACCAAATCACCAACTGTGCGCATTTGTTAACTTGGGTGTTAATTTTGGACCCCATTTTAAAATAGTTAAATTACTTGAATTAATTATATTTTAAAACTAGTTTTACCTCCTCCCATATCCTCATGAAAACTCTCCTAGCATTTTTTCAGAATGCGATATTCAGTGATTTTCATTGTGGAAAAAGTAAAACATGCCTTAATTGGATTGTGATGGAAGTCAACAGCACAGTCGTATCTATCCAATGCAAATATGGCATCTCTTGAGCACAAACATGGGGCAATTTACTAGGATTCTGGGGTTAAAGCTGGATTCCTGGAGGCAAGTCGGTGTGCTGGTTGTTCTGTGCAATTTTATCTATTCAACTTTGGTTTTGGCAGCTTGGAATTTTGGATCTTGTGCTGGAACCACAGCATGATATTTCCATGTGTTCCTCAGTGTCTACACCAATAGAGTACACGGAGTGCTATTTTTGATTTCAATATGTGGATCACAAGGTTTGATATTCTTGGATGAACGTTGCTCAAGTTAGGCATTCGAATGCATTCTTTTGAGCAAGTATACTCCCAGTGTGTTCAGTGAAGTAGCACTTTTGCAGTGTTTGTTCTGCTCAGGTGCTTAAATAAATTCTAAGGAAAGGTATTGTACTTGTGTGAAATTGAAAGCCAGATGTAAACCCATAACATGCAATTACTTCAGATGGAATTTAATATGACATCAAATTAATTGAATGAGTAGATCCACTTTTTCTTATACAAAACAACTCCTGATAACTCGACCCTGGTTTAGCTTGTCCCTACCACTTAAGTCATCGGGCTGTCAATATCCTGGCTTCATTTATTTATATATTTATACACATGCCTAACTTGCCACTCCAGATAACTCATCACTGAGCCCTTTTTTCTTGGAGTGACGAGTTATCAGGAGTTAGGTCAATTAGACCAAGTAAGTATTCTTTGAATCTTAAAATGTGACTTTCATTCTAGGGAGAGGGTATGGACTAATAATTACAGTGAAAATCAATGGAAGAAAAATGCTACTTTTTTAAAAAAATTCCACATAGATCTACCTAAAGGTGTATTAGAATTTTAAGATATCCCTTTCTGCAGAATGAAAAAAATGGAACATTTTAGATGTAGGAGAAATACACCGTTGGCTCAAAACAAAAAACCTAAGAAGTTTAATGATGTAGTAGTAATAATAATCCTTTCATTTGATCTAGCGCCTTTCATACTGGGAGGATGTTTTGGAAGTGCTTCACGGGATTTACTGTGAAGTGTAGTGACTGTACATTTTGTAGGTGAAGCTGTTGGTATGCTTATACTTTGGTTACAAATATCATGTTTATTATTAGTTTATATACAATGTTGCAAATTTATTAAATATATAAATTCTCCAAACATGAAATGTTTTCCCATTGCCAAAGTTAATAGGGTAAATCTTAGTTATTAAGAGAAATTATGTGTCTTCTGTACCATACATCTTTTTATATTACAAGACATGTACTACACCACTGGCATGATTAATTGTGCTTGTGTAAGAGACGAGTACAAATACTGTCATGTTACAATAATAAAGCTGCACAGGTAGCATCTGAGGGGGAAAAAGCTATTGGGATTTTTAAAGACCTTTATTTGGTTCCATCGTTGAACTATCCTACTTTAGTGAAGCTTGAGAAGAATCCTGACCTCAGTTATTATCTTTAAAATTCCCAGCATAAATCTTTCAATATTTTATAGCGGCACAGCCTTGTCTCCATTCTGTTGTTATTCTCCCTGCATTAGATACAAGTTCAGATTTTTGCCTCGGAACATAGAAGCAGAATTAACATGTCACTAATGCTTATTTAAAAGCATGCTATAATTGTGTGCGAGATTTTTAAAATGTACTGTTATATATTTTGTGACTGATGTTTTAATTTTTTTTGTTTCCCCCTTGTTGCAAACAGAATGGCCTTAATTGCATACAGATTAATAATCTCGTCACATTTCTAAATTCTGAGTAATTTGGATCTAGTTCTGAGTTTCCAATGCATGCAAGTTAATTAATGCTAGAATATTGTCTTGTGTTAGTAAGTGGATTTGGTATTCAATTAAGAAAATGTGGAATGAGAAAAAATATTAGACTCATCAAACTCGCTTTTTCCACAGCCACGCAAAACTTACCTTATCGTGGAGTTCACCTTACTACTTCTACCTCGTGGAGAAAGTAGATATATAAGAACCCTATTATAATTTCTTTCACCCCTCACCCAATGTAGCATATCTTTATATGACTGGGATCCACTGGACCTGCTCTCAACAGGTGTTTTCCCATCCTAAAAAAAAGCCAACTTCTAGTTTGTCAATTTGCTGCTAACATCACTTCCTATATAATGTGTCACTTCTTACCAATAAATCAATTGGAAGTATGTTTGCAAGAAAATGCCAATGATTTGTCTTTGCATTTATGTGCATTGAATTTGACTGCAGTTTCAATTGTATCTGTACAAAAAAACTGCAGTACATTTGTCAGGCTGTATTTTTATCTTGTGTTTGGGGAAGACTAATTTTGACAAAAATTTGGGGGAAAATTTCACGTGTGTTCAAAGATAACTACATTTGGACAATTTTTTCAGTTTACAAGGTATAATTGCTTACATTTGGATTGAAGATGTGACTCTCAAAACCATGTCTGTTTTTCAAAGTCATCAAATTAATACCAAAAGGTACTTTAGTAATGCTTCTGAGGTCTTAAATTGGTGGCTTGATTTGAAATCCTAATTTTGATTAAACGAGTGCTATTAAGTGAGCACAAAATAACAAACTTGTTTATCATAACTACCTTCAGTTCTCATTTAAGAGAGCCTTTTAAAGGCCTAAGTTTGAAATGCAGTTCAAGATTAAATAATTATGAAGATATTAAGATAGTTGATTATTGCAAAAGGGTAACTAAATTATTTGTATTGTGGATTCAAATGTTCTATGTTGCTGAGAGGCAAAGAGCTTACTGATGGGAAGAAAGTATTTTATGTCTAAATAACCATGGATTTCAGAGAAAATATGCGTGCAAGATATTTTTATGGAGGGAAATTTGGAATTTTCAATAGTGTCAATAAAGTCCGACTTATAAATATTGATTCACAGTTGATCTGGTTGCCTTTTGAGAAGTGACATTTTTTAATTTAGAGGGCTATTTGTGCAGCTCAAAAGTGTAATTCATGCACTTTAGCAACGTTGGCTTGTGCATTCTGTAAAATAAAATGTTTTCTGCATGGGGCCATTGTAGTAATACTTTTGTCTGGTTTTAAAATACATTACAGCTGCCAGACTATGGTGTATTCTCAAGGCATGGGGGTGGTATGTCATTTAACCGAGGTGGGTCTGCAAAGAACGCTGGAAGAGGCATGAAGAGAAAGGTATTGCAGCCCAACAAAGCTGCAGTAAACAAGAAGCAGAAAGTGACAGTTGCTGAAAAGGCTGCAAAAGTAATTGGTAAGTATATCCAATACAATTTGCTTTTAATATAGTGTTGTTTGGAGGATGTCTCAAAAAGAGCTTTTCTGGTCACTTCCAACACTGCACTGGCGTATTGGAATCGAATATATGGGTTCCAAGTCCTGATGTGGGACTTGAACCGACAACTTTCTGGCTCCCAAGGTGAGGGTGCTACCAATTAAGCCAGGGTGGATAACTATGACTTGCACATTAAAAACTATTGTATCCTTTTTTTATTTATTTCAGCGACAAAGGTGACGACACAAAGCAGCACTGCAGTGACTGCGGCATCAAAGACCCAGGTATTCATTCTTAGACTGAGCATAAATTGCCAATGGTCAAATTGAGCACATGCTTATTTTACTTTAATGTGCCTACATTTATACTAAATTGGTAAGTCTTCTATCCAGAAACCAAAAGGGCATGTGATACCGTAATTTGAAAAGAGGAACGAAGTTCAGCAGGTACTTCATGACTCCCATTGTCTCTAGTTAGAATTTGTTTTATTGCTTTTCAGAATGCCACAAATGTCCAGGTAAAAGAAGAAAAGGATGAGGATTTTACAAAAGATGCTTATGAGCCTGATGCATATGAATGCTTTGATAAAAATGAAGGTCAGTAAATTGTGGGTTCTTTCTAGGTATTTTTTTTTTGAAATTACCATTTGACCATGAGAATTGCCATCTGACAGATTAGATTATTCCAATCAAGGTAAAAAGAAAAATGAGGATGAAGATGAAGAAGAGAGAAAAAAACTTGAAGCAAGAAGAGAGAAGCAACGGCGCAGGCGTGAAAAGAATACTGAAAAATATGGAGAAGATTATCGGTGAGTGAAAATGAAGTGTAGACCATTTCGTAGTAGAGGAACTGTAGTAAAACATAGCCCATGAGGGTCTGGATCCAATGTCTTGATGCTGCTTGTTGTTGATAAACGGCAAGATCAATACCAGGTAGTGATTGTTGTGGAATTCACTGCAACAGAGTGTTTCGGAAGCAGAAAGTAGCATTCAGATATTTGAAGCAAAGTACTAGACATTGTAGACTATTCTTGATTTTTAATCTTTTATTTCTTAGGAATGCATTTACATGCTCGCTCTGCAAATTCCGAACCACAGAGCAACAAGAGATTGAAGCTCACCTGGAAACTCCTTACCATAAGGAAACGCTTGAGTATATTGGAAAGAACATTCAGTTTGATAAAGGAGCCGCAGACTTTTTACATGTAGGTTGTGTCTGATTTTATGATTTGTGCTCTGTCTCAGTGATGGAACTTTGAGCTGATGTATTGTAGCAACTGGATATAATTCCACTAGAAGTCCGTGCTATATTCTGGGTTGGATCACTTTAGCTTGCAGTTTGTTCATACAACTTGTAGTGACTGTAGAATTCAAGATTGTAAGTTCAGGTGAGTTATTGCATTTGACTATCCTTGTGATTCATGGTATCAGCTGAAGCTTATGATTAAATTACTTATAATAATTTCTAATTATCCATTTTCTATGTAATGTAGTATTCCTTCAATTATTTTTGCACAAATTTACCTAGATTTCAAGCTTCTTCAGTAGCTGTTTCTCTGTACATTTCTTTTTTGCTCCAAAGTAGTGATGAAGGAAGACTCTGAATACTGAACAGTGCAATTAAGTGATTTTTTTNCAAGATGGTATGCTAATCTCTACAGTAGTTAGCCTGTGGCATTCATACTCATTACTAAACATCCCTAGTTTACTGTGCAAATTGAGCTTGCTGCTAACTAGACTTGATTAGTAATCTGCAGGGTTTATTTTTGCAAAAAATGGGGAAGTTTTTCTTTTGTGAATTAAAAATTTACTGCATGTAATGCTATTAAATCTGCCCTTTTCGTATGAAATGCAAGTTAATGTCCATTGGAAAGTTTAGGTAATTTGTATTATTGTGATTTTAAAAGACTTGGGTTTTGTGTCATCTCAGCTGTTACCATTAGGCATTGCATCCACGTGAGGAAGGTTCAAATCTAATGAATTTTACTGCGTGTGTTGTACTAAATGGTTGGTTCATTGGTTATTTTCTAGATGTAAACTTAAGTTTCCACACAATTAGGTTTACTTGATTTCAACTAAAACCACAATAAGACTGAAAAATGTAAGGTATCGACCTAGTTAGGATCCTCAAGAGTCTGATGATAATACTCTAGACGAGGTTCTTATTTAACTTTTGATATAAACTTAGTAACAAAATAAAGCAAGCTTTTGTACAAGCCTTTAAAAAGAGATAGGTATCTCTGCATCAGTGTATCTTTTCATGATGTGCCACTCAAAAACTATTCTTTTGGGAGGTGGAGATTTAACTGAAAATTCAGGTTGCTCAAGCAACCTGCTATTGTAAGAGGAATTTATTTATAGCAGTAAGCTATGAGGATCAACAATAATTGTCTCTCTCTCTCCCCTGCTTGTGGTTAAAACAATTGACGTTTACTTGTTGACTGAACCTGCAGTATTTCACAATAGATTATTGAGCGAATGAGATGGATCATATGAGCATTTGGACAAATTTAGAAAAGTGGCACAAAATTAACTGAATTAAAATCTGTAAAATTTAAACCACGATCAGGAGGAATTACAAAAACTATTCTAATTTTCAGGTTGACTGTAAACCCATTTATTTGTTCAATTAGATTAGATGCGTAATCCTTTCCTGATATTCAATTAATCTCTAATCTACTCTTTAAATACTAAATACTATTACAGACTAATTTGCTTTCTTTTCAAAGCATACTGTGGAAGTTTTTGTAGCTTTTAGTAAGGTTTCTAAACATGTCAAAACGTCATTGTTTAGGCATCTATGGTCAACAAAAATAAGAAGATCGCTGCCCGTAAACAACAGCAGCAACAACAACAAGAACAGAAAGAACAAGTACAGAAGCCCTCAAAGGATGTTCTGACGGGTAGGTTATGTTTCTATGAATACAGTTAAACTATGTATGAGGTATTGGTACACCTACATTTTGATATTCTTATTTAGTGCCATTGTATTAATTCTGCTGATTACTTGAAAAAATAGAAACTAGTAGATAAGACAGAGGTTAATTGTTTTAAAGCCTCACTTCTATATCCTAAAACGTTTTAAGTTACTTATTTTGATGAACCCAGTGGAGATGATAAAACATAATGGCCTCATTATATGCTGAAAGTTAATGTTTAATGGAAATAATTATAAACAATAGTATAGTAGCTTATAGTTATTAATGTTTGTTTTCTTTGGAAATAAGGAGTCACATCGGATGACCAAATGAAAAGGGTTGAAGCTGTTCAGTGTGCAGTGTGTAACACCTACATCCCTTTCTTATTCCACTCTGTGCAACAACATTTGAAATCGAATGAGCATATAAATAGCAAGAAGGTATGTTTGATGCTTGTGTTTATTTACAAATATGATTTCTGTTTGGAAAAGTTTCAATTTGCAGCTCATGACTGAATTTGAACTGGATTGTTTTCACTAAACATGAACACATTAATTACCACAATGTGTTTAAAACTGAATTTGAACTGAATTTGCTAATGTGAAGATCACGGTGCGTTACATTAGCTTTCACATTATTACTAATACCGGGCCTATGTGCTTGTTTCTACCAAAGCAGTTATAAATGAGAGAATAACAATGAGACTTAAAATGCAGGTAGAGTCTGTGCCATTGAAGGAGTTTTTTGTTTGTTTCTTTAAGAATTACCATGACCAGGTCAGAAGGGAGAGTCTGTTGACAGCCAGCAGCATGCTGAACAACCCGACTGTAAAAGCTAAATTTGACCTGTTCTTAAAGGTAAGAGATATTTTACACCACTAAAGTGTATTTACAGGATGTGATTTGATATACCGTGATAATATTCACTTGTTTTTCCACTTGTACACAGGGTGAAAATCCCTTTGAAACTATTAATCAGGAGCAAGAACAGGAGCAAGAACTGGAACAGGAGCAGTCACAGCAACAAGAAGAGCCACTGGAAGAGGAAGATGAAATAGAGAAGGAGCAAGAACAGGAACAAGAAGTTGAAGAAAAAGATGGTGTGGCAGATGAATCAAATGATCCAAGCAGTCAATAGTATCTTCAGAATGGGCGTTTAATTTCATAAATTGTGAATCTGTAAAAAATGCATCATAAGGTAGTAAGACCCCGTTTGTTTTGCAACGCTGCACCAATACTGTTGTGTAATTATTAATATTTCAAGGCTGATTGTCATCAAATTGCTTTTTATGCTGTCTTTCTCCATCAGTGTTTATCTTTTGAAAACAAATTTAGTGATTGCTCTCCATGAATAACCATGTATTAAACAAAATTATTAAAAAAAAGTTAACTCAAAGTTGAAAGACAACTTGGAAAAAGAACTATGTTAAGTGATGAATAATCTAGATGGGAAGGAATAGTGGTGAGACATGTGTGCAGCTAGGTATTTTGGATCCTTTATGCTGAAAGGGCAATGTTTGCTGATTTTTTTTAAATAAAATCACTTCATTTTATCCATTCTAATATAAGTACTTTTTAGGATTTGGTAGTAATTACTTTGTGCATAGTTTAGTAATGTGAGGAACGTATTGTAGTTTTACTTATCAACTTATGTCAGAACTCGTTTGGCAATTGAATCCTGGTTCACATTGCAAGTTCTTGCTTGTTACTTGTTTAAGCTACTGTAAAGTCAGTCTGCCTTGATCATCTCTTCATTGATGTTCACCTGTATTCCTTTGTAAGTGCTATCAATGGCAATAAAGGATTTTACATACGTAAACTATGTATTTAACTGTCTGTTTCATGAACAAGTAAACTGCATAGTTCATTTGTTATTTACATATTGGTCAGCGAGGCAAATATTACTTGTATATCCAATGTTAAAATAGAAATATGGGAATAAAAGTTTATTCACTTTGACACAGCATTTTCTATATACACACGGGTGTCTATTTCTGCAGATGGTGACCCCAACAGCTACCATAAGGTGCTTAATTGGTGCAGTTCTGTTTCTGCAGGGTTTGCCAACTACTGTTTCGGTCTGAAATCCCTTCACTTACGATTCTAGAAGGATTGCATTTTATGCTACCGATGATTTCTAAATTGCCACCAGCTACCTTCTGCTTCATTTTGAAAAAGAATGAAATATTGATTATGTCTAGCCCTTTCATGTTTTTGCAGCAGGTAATAGGTGCACTATTATTGTGATTAAACTCCAGTAATGCACTGTTTAAGCAGAGTTGCTTATTTTTGTTTGCAATTTGAGATTAAACTCTTTACATTTTGTTTCCATACAATATTATTATTATTATTATTAATACACTCTAGGTGCTAAGGTTTGAAATGTGTTTAAAGAGTCAGTTGTAACTAAGTTGTATTTTAATACTATTAAAAAATTGAAAAGTTGACTGAAGTTATTTTTAAAATATTTCTGGCTGATGTAAATTTGTTCGAATCAACAAACATAATGTGAGTGGTATCTTTTTAAAAATGCTTTTCCTAAATGTTCTCCTTGCTCTTGATCCAGTGACACGCTGAGATATGGTTCAATGGGAATCTATCTGCTATACAAACTGCTCAACTACTGCATAATGTTACACATAGAAAGCAGATCAGAGTGTATTTTGTTCCCAAAATAGTACATTTGTCTGTGGCCTTAAGTAGGCACGCGTCTTCTTCCACAACGCCCTTGGGAAGTATAAAGGCTGGTTTGTGCTCTCAACACCTGATACAGAACCTCCCTCATATATGAATCGCCTCCAGGCAGGCCCCGTAGAGTATGTCAAAGGGTCTTCCAACAATTCAGCAGCAGATTGTAGACTCACCTCTGGGTGAATATGTATTATATATTCCCTACTGCCTTATCAGTGCCCTCAAAAATACTAATTGACCTGCATGGAGATGGAAAAACTCATCTCGGGAGACAAACATGGTTTCAGGCTTGTGTGGCAGAAATGTGTGAAACATCACAGCAAATGTTATTTTGAAGGTACTTTTTCTAAAACAAAAGCTGGTTAACTGGGATTATCATTCATTGCATAAGACTTTCCATGTGATTCTTGATGATGGGCAGTATTTTTATTGCTCTTCAGAATACTAATCTAAAATTAGGAACTACATCTCACCTTTGAGATCAATATAACTTTTTCAATATTGAGCAGCACTGGTTGAAATCAGGCACATTCAGACTATATCTGCGATTTCATCTTGCAGAAATCTTCAGGCCCTCTTGGTGACATTTTTGATGTCGAGAACAACTCGGGTGTTAACCCTCACCATTGTTCAGATTCATTGCTATTATCACGTCTTGGTATGACAAAGCTTGGGACAGTTTTTGCATGCCATCCCCAAAAATGAGCAAATGTGCATCTCAATTAAGGGGTAACTGTTCCCAATTTTTGTTCACCCAATCAGAGTGAACAAGCGGTGCACTTTCAATAAGTCACTGGACATTTGCTTATTACATAGAACTGAAACAGTAAGTAAAACTATAAGATTATTTTCTTCAGAATTATCTAGCAATACTCCACAAAGGTGTTAGAGGACATGGATTGTTATATAAAATGGGTCTTGAGTTAACAAAGGAAAGGCTGGGGATGACCAATGAATTAAAAGGTTGGGGAATGAGAACCAGTTTGTGGACTGCAGCGAAATTAACTACGGTTTGGAGCTGAACAACTTAAATGGAAGCCTATTGAAACCAAACGGCAACACTTATTAACAGTGCATATTTTTAATTGCCAGAGTTATCCAGTCTCTCTGGTAAGATCTATGAGAGCTGAGTGGACCTCATTTGAATATAATGAGGAGCCCTTGAATTAACATTTGACCTTCTTGCCCTTAATACCACCAAAAAATAATAATGTGGTACCAGTCATAATAATCCTTGCATTTGATACTGTTTGTATGTCTCCTGTTGATTTAATTAGATTTAATTGGAAATCGGGGCAGGTGAAGTATGATTCTAGAGAACCAGCCGGACAGGTAGACAAGCCAAAGAGCTTGCTCTTGTTAAACCAGTGAAGCCTAGGATTCCTGACAATTAAGCATCCCATAAGGACCATGTACTTATTATTGCAGTAGTTCAGAGTTTCCTGCACCAAATTAGTTCCAGTAGCCACTCACATTCCAGGAAGCCCAACATCAGCAGGTGCAAGGTTTTTGTTTTAATGAGGAAAGGAAATGGACTTGTAGCTCTTTAATTTCAGTAAATAACAGCAGTATCAAAAATTGTATCAAATAATATAAGCCGTGCTGATTTGAATCAGTGTTATGGTTTCAAGTTCAGTTTCAATAGATGTTAGTTTTATTATAGTGACAGTTTGCAACAATTCGTTGATATTTATATTTCTGAGTTCTGTGTAGAGATAGTCTCATATCTACTCACAGTGGAAAATGATTTGCTGCTAAGCTGTTATTACACACCGCCACCACCCAGTGGCCAATGTAGAATGCTATTGCACACAGGTTACTCTCAGGCTCTAAGGGTAAAATACAGAAATAATAGATTTTTACATTAAACAAATGTATGTCATTACTTTTTTCTACTACATTTAATTTAATTTCTTACCCCGCCATTGTTCAGCTCTCCTGAAATGCTATCCTGAAGAGTGCTATATAAATGCAAGTTGTTGTTGTAATGTTTCTCCTTTTATAAAAATGTTAATAACTGGATAAGGTATTTAATATTTACCGTTCCCACATAGCATTGTTAAGACTATCATTCATGAGTTCTAATTTTAATATATTTTATGCTGCAACTGATTCATCTGATATTGTTACTTCCTTGCACCCCTTTTCCACTATGAAAGTCCTGTGCAATTTACAATAAGTTTAATCATAATATTATTGACAATTATTCAATAATAATCATTTAAAATTGCTATTTTCAGAGTAGAAGGTGTGAATTATTAAATTACATCATTCTTGATATTAATACTATGAGTATAATATTAAAGAGGGAGGTTTAGTTCCCTTCAAACTTATTTTTAATACTGCATAGAAAATTAATAACATTTCATTATAAACGTCTAATCTGTAGCTTGAAAGTTCATCAAACTGCATGTGATGTGGGTTATTTCATAATTGAGAGGCCTAAGTTGTAGGTCTTTCACAGCAGTCAGGTTCTAATTAATATACAGATTTAAGCAAGAAACACTGTTCTAGCAAACCGTCTGAACTAATTTTTCCTATTAATTTTGATTGAACATAACTGAATTAAAGTAATGTTTGTTTCCTTACCTCCTGTCATAATTGGCTCCAATGAAGAAATTCTGCTTTCAAAACTACCCAAGACAATACCTCAGGCAGCAGGTAGAGGGCAGCATAGTTGTAATTCTTCACATAGAAATGTTGAGCATCTATAATAGAAATGCATCTCCAAAATGTGTATTATTAGAGTGAGATATTATTTGCCAACACTTCAATCAGTTGTTCACCATGTTAGATATAACTAAATACATTTCTGTGGCACTTAAAGATAAGTGTAAGTAAAATGCAAAGTTTATTGAAGATAGTAAAAAATAAATGTGATATAAAGCAACAATACAGAACAATGTGAAGTTAGAATTTTCTTGAATCCAATGGATATGTAGAAATTATGTCTGAAGAATCGTATTAACAGCACAGACTTTAAATATACAGAAAGATGCTGCTGCCATGCTGGCAAAGGGAAATATAGGACCGAAAGGATGTGTAAAGCAGCCAATTGCACTCAGCAGTGTCCCACAAATAGACATGGATTGAGTGACCAAATTATTATTATTTTTATTGTTATTACCCCCAGAAAAGTGCTCTCCCAATCAATTAACAACCGGGTTCCTACTTACTGCTAGGTAAACAGGCATTTTGCCCTGCCTGGGAATCAAACCCAGATCCTCTCGCTTGCAAGGTGAGTGCTCTAACCACTAAGCTACATAACTCCTGTAAGGGGAGCTTTTTATCTTGGTGATGTGGGTCAGAGATGGTTTCTGTTTATTTGTTTCATTTATTCAAATAGTTTAGAATACTCATTTTTTAGAATAATAATAAAAAAGCACTACTCTACTGAATAAACTTTTTTTTAGTTTTGCAGAAAAACAATTTATTAATTGACTTTTTTTACTTTGAGAGCTGTTATTTCTATAGAATTTCTGTACTTCATATAAAACATGCATCTTTTATTTGCCCTGATTCAATTTGTTTGTGGAAAATATCCACGGTTAAACTTTGTCTAATTGCAAAGCAGGACAGAAATTGGATGCTTACCTTGAAGTGCCCAAATCTTTCCAGTAGTAATGTTAATATCATTAATAAGATGCCTGGAAGAGCTGCCAACAAAATCCTGCAGTAGCCCTTCCAAGGTATTTATTATTATTATTATTATTACTATTTTATGACTTTACCATCAGACAGCAGTCTTCATTTGAGACAAGTTGCTGGTGGCGCTTTCTGGGAGCCTAGTATTTTGTTTCTCAAGTCCAAACAAACTAAAAGTTAGATGTGGTTTCATGGGAGGTTTCTGTTGTGTATTGAGGGTTTTCTTATTGTGAGGTCTAAAATTGTCTGTTTGGAGTTTGAGGTGGTGCTGTCAGTGGTGGTGGCAAGGGGCTGCCCCTTGCCCATTTCTCCATAAGCTCCACTTTTTAAGTTTAAACATTTAAAAAGTAGCATGTTTCTCATGTTGCAGCTTATATTGCAGTCAGCCTGTGGACTCACTTTATAGAAAGTCAGTGGAGTCTCAAGTTTTAGATTGTTGCCTGGGGACCTCAGCTGCCCATCTAAACCCTGAACAAAGTGAAA